AGCTGCGCTTAGAGTATCGGTACTCTCTTCCCCGACAAGTGTTGTGAACGCCGCCATTCTGGTGATTGTGCAGAGCAGGCGCAACTGCCGATCGTCATGATTCAAAAGTGTGCATTAGATTCGGTGTTAGGAAGCTCATGATGTTGCTTTGCTTTGTCGCACACTGTTTAAAGTGGAGGACGGAAAAGCGTTTCTTGTGATTTCAGATAAAGCTTCAAATAACTGGCAACCATGATTTTAAGCCACAATATGGCCAAGTGTCCTACTCTGACGCGTAGCTTATTTATGGACACTATTCATGCTCTTGTTCAAGAGGCTTGTAATACCTGGAGGGGCCATGACGTAAGCCCCGTGGATTCCACAAGCCACTACCTTTTGAGACCTGCCTCTTCCTCATTGTTCCCGCATCTGCCAGTAAATTAGCTACGATACAGAGTAACGACACTTGGACATATTGTGGCTTAAAATCATGGTTGCCAGTTACCTGAAGCTTTATCTAAAATCACAGGAAACGCTTTTCCGTCCCCCACAAATGTTTAAACAACCCGCGACAGAGCATTGAAATATTGCATCAGTTTCCTAGCACCGCATCTAATGCTGAGGAAGTCGTACTTTTGGATCATGACGATCGGCAGTTGCGTTTGCTCTGAACAAGACCCAAAATGGCGGCGCCCAAAACAATTTTGGGGAACGGGGTGCCGATACTCTAAAGCTCATTTAGTGACTCTTGGCATGAGCTGAACTCGGGCGTATTATTTTCCTCTTCGTCTTTATTGTTTATTGATTTCAATCGTATCGAATAATGAACACATTATATCACGCTAGCGTGTGTAATTATTTGTCTTAGATTTATTAACCTTAGGGAGGCTGTAGTGAGGGTGGGCGCAACGCGCAACTCAAAACCTGGAGAGCGTTTGCAATTTAATGGCGGCGCCTGAGGGAGAGGATTCGAGAAAGGATATGCACCAGTGTTGCCTGCACGAGAGCAGGCGCCCGCTCTGTTGCAACTCGGTTGCTCCATGCGCCTTTCCTCCTCTCGCCTCCCATTGCAAGCAACGAGCGCCTTGGCGCAGCCTCTCTCGCTTCCTTCTCGCTCCGAGAATTGCAAACGTCGAGCAGAGAAAGCAAAGTTGCCAGACAAGCAGCAACGTCCAAGATGGCGGAATTTACCATTTTTCGCGTTAAAAAAATACTTAACCTATCGCAACAAAACTGGTGGCTATGGAAAAGTAATCATTTATACCTTGTGTAAATTTTTCAAGCACCTTAATGGGCTTTTATGACCCGAGTTAGGAAAGAAAACGACCCTTTGCCCCATAGACTCCCAGCAAAATTTAGCAATTAAATGGCGTCCATGTCCCGCGATCGCCGATCTAGCAGTTGCACCCACCCTCACTTGAGCCTCCCTAATTAACCTGACCCAGTACTCAAACCATTTATTTATCGATAGTAAATCTTCCAATATATTTTTTAAATGTGAAGGTAAAAAAACACGGAGATTGATGATGATAGAGACGCCAACGCCGACCTCAGAAATTTTCTGAACACTAGAAATCAGCAGTTTGTCTGCCATCCGCCAGGTAGCGCAACAAAACACCCAAACAGTTTTTAATTGTTTTTAAAATTAGCTAAGCTCTACACCTATTAAGAAACCAAAGCAAGATCATTGTGAAAATTTAATACATCGCAATGTATATCTATTCCAAAAAATAAATGTTATTAGATGCCAATAAATCTGTTTGATGTCCAAAAAAGATATGCGTCAAAAACAGGTAAGTTTGAAGGGCTCCTAGAGCGTTATGACCACTGATCTCAATGACAATTGCTGGATCGCGCTTGCCGCTCCCGCAAGTGAAGCCACCGGGCCTCACTCGCTTGGGATACGATTTGCCGTTTTTGCTAGCCTTTGCTGCGGTTTTCCAGCGTGCTGACGACACGTTTTCTACTCGTTCGTCGTCATTCGCCGAAGAAGTTTTTTGAAGACTCTGTGTATTGTTGAGACTTGCCGTTGTGAACACGTGGAAAAGTTTACGAAAGTGCAGTGTCGCAGGAAAAAGGCACAACGCGTCGAAAGGAAGGGCTGGCGGCGTGTTCAAAGCATCCTTGGCACGCCGAAGTGCCGTGTCTCTGTGCCTTCGCGCGCTTGGATACGGACCAAGAACCGACGCCGTGTGAATGTGTTTAGCGAGTGCAATGTGCGTGAAGCCGTATCAAAAGGTACAACTCGTCGAAAACGTGTCGCCCGTGTCGCGGCGTGATCAAAGCTTCCTTGGCACGCCGAGTGATGCATCTTTGTGCCTTCGCACGCTTGGATACCGGTCAAGAATTGACGCCGCGCCAAAGTTCTGAACGTGTGTCGCGCGTAGATGCCTTTAGATCATTTATATATATCGGCCACGGAGTTCTGGATCGTCCAGCTGTTCCGGTGAGTTGCTATCAATAAAAGGGGGAGATCTGTACGTGTTCTTATGTACTATATTAACCATGGCTATGTCCCAAATCTACTCTAATAGATTCCGTGGGAGCACGAATAGGGCAACGTTGTGGAGCCAGGGGGGTTTTCGAAAGCAAAAGTACAAGACGGCGAGAATGAAAATCTTTGAAGCGCGGCCGATATGGTCGTGTGCAATCTGTTGACCAATTACAATTAGGCGAGCCGCGCTCAAACGTCAAGTGCAATTAAGTAGGTTGATAATAAGCCAGCACTGATCAGTGATGAGGAGCTGTTGTGCACGGTATTGTGTAAATCGTCTAAGGACGAAAAAAAGACGTACCTTCTCCCCATCTTCCGTCGCTAGTGGACGCTGGATTAAGCTCGTTCCTAAACCGCGAGAGGAAAAGACGCTGATCCAGAGGCACGAACAGCTTCACGCACATTGCACTCGCTGAACACATACACACGGCGTCGGTTCTTGGTCGGTATCCAAGCGTGCGAAGGCACAGAGACACGGCACTTCGGCGTGACAAGGATCCTTTGAACACGCCGCCAGCCCTTCCTTTCGACGCGTTGTGCCTTTTTCCTGCGACACTGCACTTTCGTAAACTTTTCCACGTGTTCACAACGGCAAGTCTCAACAATACACAGAGTCTTCAAAAAACTTCTTCGGCGAATGACGACGAACGAGTAGAAAACGTGTCGTCAGCACGCTGGAAAACCGCAGCAAAGGCTAGCAAAAACGGCAAATCGTATCCCAAGCGAGTGAAGCCCGGTGGCTTCACTTGCGCTGCAGCGAACAAGCGGGGAAGCGCGATCCAGCAATTGTCATAGAGATCAGTGGTTATGACTATGAAAATGAAAAAAAGCCATCGTCCACCTTTTGGGCAACCATTGTAGCTCTAAATGTTATAAATGATTTTATCATAGTTTAATTATTTCCTCAGCGGCATTTGAAGTACCATGACTAGAAGCACAAAAAAGTGCTACGTTTGATATTAAATATCTAAACAAAAACATTAGACACAACATTAAATATTTTTCTGCATATTACCAATTATTAGTAGGGGTGTCGCGAACCGGCCGCGGTTCGAGTTCGACCAGGTTCGACTTTTTCGAACTTTTAGTGGAAAGTTCGACGAACCTTGTATTGAGGTTCGACTCGTGTGCGCATGCGCGACAGGCTGGCCAGTTGGCTTCGGATTGGATGGTAATGGCTAAAAGATGAATTAAGTGCAGCGCTGATTGTCTATTTTAGTCAATACATTACTATACATTAAGTTAATAACTTATTCAGTGATTAGAATTAGTTTCTTTTAATTGCAGCTGTTCACAAAATAAAATAACCCCTTGCATAAAAAAAAATTCTCCAAACCTAGGCATGCTTGTATTAAGGTCTGGCCACACTGTCCATAAAGTCGAACCGGTCGAATCTGGTGAAAAGTTCGAAGGTTCGTCGAACCGGTTCGACTCAGTCGAACCCCGGAAGTTCGACCAAAAAATCTGGTTCGACAAAAGTTCGCGACACCCCTAATTATAAGCACTACATCTGTAGCTAATTTCATTGCCCTAGCGCTTGTCATTAAAAACATATTTGTGCTGAAAAATGTCAATTTTAGGGCAATATTTGGAGGGATGAAAAAAACAAAGTAGTGCAAATACCAAAAAAGTGTATCGTTACATTCTGCTCCGACATCATCTTAACAAAACTGTTATATTGGAACCGTGCTATCTTTAATGGATCGTCCATAAAACATGAACTAGCGGAGCAAGTGAGGGTCCGCGCCATCATATTCGCAACGCTACAAACGCGCATTAACAGTAAAAACCAACACAAACATAATATCAAATAAAAGAGGATTGCATTGCCTTTCGAATGACATCAATCCCACAAAACAGTATTTAAAAGGAGGTGAGTAATGACCTGCCAAAAAGTACCTAAACTGCCACATTCAGTGGGACCGTGGCCTTAATCCAACTATCCTGAGCGCCCCTTTGAAGACTCTGGGTATGTTGCACATTCGCACAAGAGCTATTTCACGCGACGATAGCATACCATACACATCGCTTTTTCTCACCGGTGCCGCTGCCGGCTGTGGCTGGGGTTTCCCCTGGAATTAATATTTGGGGGTTGTCTGAATTTCCCGGTGTTTGGGGGGTAGGCAGAAGGAGGCAATTTTTTTTTCTATTTACTTCACTGTTTTTTTTTCTGCATGTCGACAGTGAGGTAAAGGTGGTGCTTGACAGATTTTCCGAATCTCTACATTCAACATGAAAGTTTACACATTTAATGAAGAATGCGTAATTCCCTTAAGAAAGCAGAAAGTAAAGCAAAGACCAACATCAGAAAATATCATTCACGGTATCAATACTGTGATACTGCAATGAATGTCAAGACCGAAAATATATTCAACGGGAAAACCTCCCCTTTGTTCTCCTTAATGTCAACGGGAGGAGGAGCAGCGCGGAGGAGAGGCGACAAAAATGCTCGTGCTCTGATGCCACTGTGACGTTAGTTCCACATGGAAACCACTTTTGGGAGCCAGCGCGCTCAAGAAAACCAAGGTTTCACGCAAAATAAACATTACGTACTTTATTTATTGTTCTTTTAGCGGAAGATTTTTTTTAGGTTTTTTTCTAAACAAACAATGCACCCCCCCGGGTGTGAGTAAGAAATCACTGGGGGCTGTGGCATGACGCACATGCAAAGCAGGGAAATATTCATTTTCGATTTCATCCTTCACAATAAAGAAAGTTAAGACACTGCGTATATAATATTGAAAGACAATCATTGGAGGCCGATTTAGAGAACTGGTCGCAAATACGCGTGGGGACAGACGGTCTGGGAGCGGAGCGTGTACTGAAGCACGAGCTTGAGGAACAGGATGATATGCTCGAGGCTGACCAGGAACAGCACAAACTCGGTGTCGGTGAAAAGCCTCGACAACGTACTCAGGGGGTCCGGGTTCTCGACGCACAGCAACGCGATATTGGACGGCACGGCGAGGAACCCGATAGCCCTGAACGCGGGTTCCCAGATGCCGATGCCATCGAAGCCGACCTTCAGAGGCCTCTGGAAGACAACGATGAGCTTGTAGCCAACGACCAGCATCTCGAGCAGGTTGCCAAAGAAGGCCACCAGGGGCGCCAGCGGCACTATGGGACCGAACAGGAAGACGAACGCGAACTGGCTGAACATTTTGTAGTAGTCCATGTAGGTGCTGGTGTAGGCTGTCATCTCAGCCTCGCTGAGGATGCTGTGGACGCCTGGCAGGTAGCTGGAGTCTCGGCGGATTATGTTTCGGATAAGGGCGGAGATCTCGCGCACGGCCCTGGGCATGGCTACCTCCACCAGGTTGTCCTTGGTGAAGGCTAGGACGAGCTGGATGTAGACTTGCTTCCGAAGCAGTCGGACGTTCTGCACAGTGACAGTTCCAGCGCTTTTAGAAATGTAAACCGAAATAAGATGAAAGAAACCAGATGTATACTTTGATACCTTATACTTGGATGGCACATTTTGGACATGGGGCCAGAGGCGTAGCCAGAAATTTGTTTCGGGGGAGGAGAAAGGGATGGCACGTTTATATTATAGCCTAGAGTCGGCTGAATTTCGGGAGAGTGTGTTGGGTTAAAGCCCCATAGCCCCTCCCCTGGCTACGTTCCTGCATGTGACCCATTGAGTAGAAATGGTTGCCCAAGTTATTGACCAGCGTATCACACTTCTTCAGGCGAGGCTAGAGTTTCAGGCACCAGCGACATATATTGGTCAGGGCTGGATATTTGCTTGCGTGAAACACAGGCCACTAGTCGGACGTATACATAAATTGCATGTCACGTCATTGGCGGCCATGCCAGAATTTTATGCGACGCGAGCGTTCGGTAAGCCGCATAGGTCTCACAACGCAAAAATTGTAGCTCGAAGAAACCAGTAAGTGGAAATAACCGTGAGTACGCAGCAATGGCGACACTTGCAAGCTGCGTATTGCAAAGGCCCGCTTTAGGCGGGGCAATTTCTTTCAGCAACTTCAATTGGGATCTTGGAAAAGCTAGGGAACAACTCGCCAGCAACAATAAAATTGCTGGGAAAGCTGCCCTGTGTGAAGCGGGCCTAAAGGAGTGTCTGTTGGCAGACATTCTATAGCCTCTCTGCTTTTTTCTATTCCAACTAACGGAGATACCAAATCACGGTCTGTGACTTGCCGCTCTGCTATTGATACTCTCTAGGTGAATGCCGGCACCATATTATGGTATGACATCAGAAAAGGAAGTCTGGTCTTTTACACCCCAGTCATGCTACGAGGAATCCAAAGAATCCTGCCACGAGAAATTCCGAACATCCCCCTACTCCGAAGCATTTTCTTTTCTTGCATCCGACTCCGGTTTTTGTAGCTACTGTAGTGAGAGAGAAATATTATCTTCCTCTGTCAACAATAATGTTTTAAAAAATCATCCCGTTTACCTCGAACTTATTTATACTCCGTTTCACCTTATGTTGTACCGCAGCGAAGGCTAGAAGCGCGAGCTCATATCGTTGGCAGCTGCCCTTGGTGCACGAGAGCTTGTGCCGCCGAGGTGTGCCATAGAGCAAGGAGCTCGCGCTTGTAGCCTTTCCTGCGGTACAACACAAGGTAAAACAAAGTATAGTGAAGCTCAGTCCCCGAGGAACTTTGAAATCTCGCGGTGGTTGCCCGCGTTTCGTGTCTCCTTGGGACTCGTGACACGTCGCGGACGCTGATTGCTCTGTCTAAGCCCCTTGATAAAGGATAAATAAAGACAAACGCAAACAGATTGGGGGGCTTTAGTTCTGGGAGCCTTGACACCTGCCGGGTTTTCTGGACCGCCATGGAAGCTACCCCCCAGTCACGTGGTGGGTATCCGTCACTGTCTCTCAGTTTTAATTCCTCACTGCGCTCTCCCAACGCCTACTAGAACTCCCCGTTGGCTCTCTTCCCGTTTTTTCTCCACGGGGCCTTCTCTTGCCCCCCTCTTTCCCCCTCCCCTCCTTCTAACTTTCCCTCTTCTCTAGGGAGTTTCCCAAGGCGATGCTTGCCGGCAATAAATCATTTGTGTGTTGAAAGTCGAAAGATGTGTTGTCCCGTCCCCGGTCTTTATCTATAAAATTCTTTCTAAAGTTATATCATTACCAATCCACTCACCAACAAGTAAATTTAATTTCTTGGCGGCGCTTGGAAACCATCGATCACTGCCCGGTGATCGATGGCCAGTGGGCGCGGTCAGCAAAGAAAGGTGGGCTAACCGCGTATAAGGGTGTCCGTGTAACGGCTCATTCACACTGGAAGCGGTTCCGCGTTCGCAAAGCGTTTGCGAACGCGGATCCGCTTCCAGTGTGAATGAGCGGGAACACCGGTATTAGCGAAGCTTCTCCGAGGAACGTTAGATATCCCGTGTTGGTTGCCAGTGTCCCTTGTCTCCCCGAGACTCACCTCGCGACACGGGACACGGGCGCGTCAGCCCTGATGGTTATGTTAGCCTTTTGCCGCCACCTGTCGGGTTCTTTGGACGGCTACACTACAATGCGACCTAAGCATACTTGTTGAGAAGAAAATTCGTATGTCACAGGAGTTGTGTTAACTGCACGAGCGCTATTCGCAATTTTACAGCGACAGCTGTTATGGCCTCTTCCCGCCACTGGAAATGATGCCCGTTGTTGATGTAGTAGTAATAGTAGTAGTAGTGCTTGTAGCTGTAGTTGTTGCCGTTGTTGCTGTTGTAGTTGGCGATGTATGGCGTCCGTCGGCGATCCTTCCAAATCCTTGAAAAAGATTGCCCTCCGCCTGCGGGAATCGAACCTGGTTCCGCTGCGTGCGACGCGGAGGCGGTGACACCTAGCTATACGACAGCGTTAACAACCCGCTCTATGCTTAGCGTTTTTGTGGTACCCGACTCCCACTGCACGCGCTCTCTGGGAAAAAATATATAAATAGCCGATAAAAAAATGCCGTAGCAGTAATGCCAATGCCAAGAGCTCGTGCAGTGAGACGCACTTTCACGCGCTCCAGACAAATAAGATACAAATGCGTTGGGAAGAAAATGGTCAGATGTCAACTTCGTTCCGAACGCTTTTCCCACGGTGCGTGAATGCGACGCCGATGCCCATCGACTTTGCCGTGACTTGTCGCAGCTAGCACTGTGACTGTGCTGTAAATTAACATAGGAGTGCTCATTGTTTTGTTTGTTATAGTTGCGAAGTTTTAGTTTCTACATCAGGCTACAGACTGCGTCACCTAAATACAGGGTCATAGCTTGGTCAATAAAGATGCTACGCTCCTAACTTGGGATCGTCTACAGGTATACCCTTGGTTCCCTAAGGGTATACCAACCAAGACGCCATGTTTGCAAGCCATGTTGGATCCGACTAAATGGTTGTTCTAGTTTTAGCCCACGCCAGACTAAGAGTGCGATGGTTTGCGCGACAGCCCTACCTGAAGGTAGAACGCCGTGTAGAAGAGAGTGCCAAACCGACCGAAGAAGTCGAACACTATCAGCTTTCCTGTCAGGTGGCGGAGGTATTCGCCTTGCGTCTGATGGTTTTCCCATTCGGTCAGCCTTTGAGACAGCGCGCGGTACACGTCGCTAAACGCCATGGCCACCAGAGTGTTTAGCACACCGGGAAGTACTCGCACCAGCTTATTCCCCCACGCAGGCGACGGGAACTCTATGGCCACGTAACTCTCGAGGCAGAAGTACTCGTACTGCTGGAGCACGCAGAGTGACAAACAGAGCCCGACCACAACGTGGGACACCATCACCCTGAAGATCTTCTGCAAGGCGGAGTGTTCCTCCACCAAGTACAGGAGTCGGTTTCGGGTCGGCGGCGTCTCGTGCAGTCCCCAGACGCAGCAGAGGTTTTCGGCACGCCGCTTCCACACCTCCAGGATGATGGTGTTCCAAAAAAGGTTGAACAGTACTCCGGCCACCCTCCAGCGCAGCGAGTCCCGGTGCTGATGAACCAGCACACCCATGACCATCGGAACCATCAGGGACCAGGTGTAGAAGGACAGGAACGCGTAGTAGAAGGCAATGCGGAGGCCGAAGTAGGCGCGGATCATGTGGACCGGTATGGTGAGGTGGGACAGCCAGACGCTGCGGATGGCGTAGAGGTTGGCGTAGTCGTGGGGCGGGAACTGGGCCTTGATGATGCGCGCCCGCTGGCAGACGGCGAAAATGGATTGTCCAGGATAGATGGGGATGCGGCGCGGCTGAACGCCGACCACCTCGGTGAGCTGGGTGGCCCGGATGCTGTACAAAAGGTGCTGAACGATCTCCTGGCGTTCGGCGAGTGAGAACAGGGACGCCGGGTCGGGCTCTTCGCTGTGGCTGAAATCGCGCCAGTTGGAGCGGCGAAAGGGTTTTTCGTAGCCGTCCTTGTGCATCTTGAACAACCCTACCTGCGCATTAAGTTTTCGCGCGTCGGGGGTTACACTGGAGTATTTTAATGAGCAACGCGGCCCGCTATAAACGAAGTACTATCTTGTGATAGATTCTTCGGAAGTTTCAAATAATTACAATTGTCCCTGAGATATTTGTATTACGCTGATATCAATGAGCAAGCAAAGAGAGATCCCATGTGCACATCATGTATGGCCGGCGAAAGCCTGACGCAGAGCAGCGGTGCAACGAAAACGCGCTGTGGGAACGGCGTTTGTCTGCCGGCATTCCTTGTGCTACAAATATGACACCCACCAGGCAATCTCATTCTCGCTTCGTCTGCTTGACTGCAGCGTCAGGTGTCATCATTTTGTGTCGCTCATTTCGTACTAATTTATTTTAGTGCTGACTGTTTACTCTACTCACCACCAAGATTGTCGCCATGCTTTCATCGCAAAATTTTTTTTAAAGGTTGCGACCAGTGTATTCTTTCCATACATAGCTTGCATTGACGTCTCATCAGCTGCCAACGTGGGGATCTCGCTGCTGAGCGCGTACCACCTGCAGCATACACTTCATACCACCGAATTATTTTTTTATCATCAAGAACACACAAGAATGACCACCAGGATGGCGTGATGACGTCCCGTGCAAGCCATGTATGCTCATTGCTGCCGCAAACCAGGGCTGTCGAGGTCTGTCCAGGCCTGCTTAGACTGACCAGAGAGGCCAAGATTCCCCAAGACAGTCCAGGACTGTCTAAGACACTCCAAGATTGTACGGGACTGTTCTAGACAGACCAAGACTATCCTAGACTGTCGGGAACAACAAAACTTTTTAGGACATCGCTTTTGTTTTCTTTCTGGCCTTTTTGCAGCTGCGAATCGCCGTGCACCGACTGACGGGAATAGGCCGATCGACCGACTGAACGAAGCAGGCGGGACTTGTTCGGCGGAGGGTGATCGGTGGCCGAGTGGGCTAGCGCACACCATCTCGAAGCACGTGGAGCGAAAGCTCGCGCTGCAGAACTCATAGATCCTTGGCTCCTGGGCTCAATCCCCACCCCTGCCCGTTTCGATCTGGATGAGCATCGTACCGGCGAGCGGTCGTGTATCATTACTGCGTGGTGCACGTTAAAGACCTCAGGCTAGCGGTTGTACTGCACTGGCTAAATTTCTCATCTACAGCGAGTGACTCGTCGCATCTTTGATATGGCTGAACAACTACACGCTGTCAAAATGGGCACAACCCCAATTATTATTTACCTGTTCGGCAGCCTGCGGTGCAGTGTGCGGGGGCAGTCGGATGAGCAGTAGATGGTGAGTCTCTCGGCGCACGGCCGTGCACTCCACGGTAAGCTCCTGGGCGCGAAGTAAGTCGGCCAGCCATTCGGCGGTCGAGCCGCGACCTCGCACGAGGACGGCAAATTCGATGCGGTCTCCCGCCGCAGGGTCGCCGTCCGCGGCCACCGCGGCCGCCATGTTGTTGACCGGTAGCCCCCTGGGCCCCCACACCGTCGCGGTCAACGTTACTGGAGCAAGCTTGCTCCAGTAACGTTGGTCGCGGTCACTCGTGTCACGTGGTTTCTTTCTTCGCGAGATTCACGCGACACTAGCGTCGTCGCAATAGACCCTTTCCGTAATTCAGTCTGGCTACTTTGATCACTATCATCATCTGACAAATGGCATATATGCTATACTAATGGCCGGCCTTCTGTTTACTGATGAATGAAGAAGTTGAAGATGCTCCAAAGCAGATGATTCGAGGCCTATACATTCCAGACGTTAGCGAGACGTGAAGCAGGAATTGGTTGCAAGAGCTGCGTAAGCGTTCATTTCTAACTCGGGTCCGGTCAATCTGTTAGCAACACACACTCGACTTCAAAGCCCCTTAATGTATAGAACTTTATCAAAGCGTCTATGTAGGTTGGCGCTTCGTTCTGACTTGTTGCATGTTTTTTCGCCATCGACACCGAAAGAGATTGAAAAAGAGCTGTAAAGTGAAGCGCACATCCTCGTTTACCGTTGACTTGCGAAAGTGACGGTGCCCCATAATACAGGGTGTCACAAAAGAAAATTTACACGGTCTTTTTGACCGCAAAAATAAACTAGGCATCGCCGAACTCCCATTCTCCGCCCAAAGGTAGAGCTAGAGGTCACACCAATATGCCAAAGTTTCAGCCCGATCCGATAAGTTAATCAAAAGTTATAAGTGATTTTCTGAAAAGTTCAATGGGAAAATGGAGCCCATTTTTGCCTGTTTTTGGTTTCTGCTGCCATAGAGCCACATGTGTTTGAAAACTCCGTCGGCCGCCATTTTCCCATTGAAATTTTCAGAAAATTACTTATAACTTTTGATTAAGTTATCGGATCAGGCTGAAACTTTGGCATCTGGTTGTGACCTCTAGCGCTACCTTTGGGCGGAGAATGAGCCTTCGGCGATGCCTACTTTATTTTTGCGGTAAAAAAGACCGTGTAAATTTTCTTTTGTGACACCCTGTATACTGCATACCACAGGTTCCATTGCCGCCATTAGTACGGTAAAAGTTAAATTGCCATTTGAGTCACCAGATGGCACTGAATTCCGGAAAGGGTCTTAATGTTGGTTGAATATGTTCGACTTGAGCGACGAGAATTGCATAATAATTAAAAACAAGCACTCCTGTCGTTTTGAAGTCTGTCACCCTAAAGCTTTTATTAATATACACTACTTGCATTGACCGAGACTCCAGCAACCTATAGACCTTTCCAGCGGCAGTCTCGAAGGAAGCGAGCGGGCGAAAAATGCTAAGTCACTGAGCTGTGGACGCAGCGTCCGATATACCGCACAGCAGGTCAACAGCGCATGCTTGGAAGGCGTTCCACAGCCCAGACAGACAAAGATGGCAGCGCGCAGGAGGCGATTTCTGCAAAGGTCTATAGGGGTAGCCGCTATCGAGAAACTATGGCGGTCTTAGACGGGTTGTGCCGTGCCATGTATCAGCTCAACGCACAACGCTGGGGTGTCAGCAAGCAAGCATTGGAATCAAACTGGTTTGCACCGATTTTTGTTCACTACGTTTCAAACATGCAGCGATGTTTTGGCATAAGCAAGCTTCCGGAGGCTTGCATTTTGTTGTGTCGCCACTGAATACACGATTAAGAAATGATTATCATCATCATGAAAGAAAGCAGTTCGAGTGGGAACGTTGTAGATGCCTATCCTTGCCATTCTTACAGATACAGCATAAATTTTGGCGACGATGGATGCTGCGAAAACAATATAGTCCTTTGCTGGGACTGTCTCCCGACCATCCTCGACGAGGAAGACAGACTGCCTACCGCCGTTACCTCAGTTTCAAGAAAAACCAGGCAAGCCTCCCGTACCATAGCAGAAATGACGCCGAATGTTCGACAATTACTTGAAGGTCGTGGAGTTAGGTAGGTTCAGCATCGAGCGCAAGAAGGCTATGCTAATTCATGCTCTAGCACGCGTAGGGGACATAGCATATTCTACCCCTTGCCGCCAAATACCTGGCTTCTACATCTGCACCTACTACTTCAATGCTTAAATATAGATCGCGGTCAAGGAAAAGCGTTATCTATCCCGAATGGCTGCACATGTGCGATGTTCACGTTGGAGGGAGGATAGGCTGGAACATAGAACGTCGTGACAGAGCAAAAGAAAGTTTGGCAGGGAGCCCGAATGTCCGACGAGACTGTCGAAGAGTTTGTCATCGCTTTGAGAGGTCTTGCTACCACATGCGACTTCGGAGCGACTCTAGATGATGCTCTGCGCAACTAACTGGTTGAAAAGGTCCTGCTACCTAAGCTACGAAAGCTACTTCAGATTGAGGGCTTCGCGCTCACGCAGGACAAGGCAGTACTACTGGTACGTCAAGTGGAGCAAAGCCGAATGGAAAGTTTATTTATGAGTGACAGCTCGGCTAGACCAGTGCCTGTTCAGTTTGTAACGAAATGACAACAGGCCGGTAGCAAAACCAGTCTACTGCAAGCACTTCCAACCAAGATCCACCAAAGACAAGATCCCGCTACAGATACGGCTCTACACAACATTTGACAAATTCATCCAAGTGTCTGGCAGACGGACACTTCGAATCCGTCTGCCGAGGAGAAAGAGGGCCATCTTGCAACACGCACAAATTGACGACTGAATCTTCCTCCAATCCTGAACGAGAAGTTCAACTGCTGTTAGTATGTAAACGAGCCTGCGGTGCAGGTCACCGTAAGCGCTGAGGGCAGTGACGTCACATTTCTAGTTGATATAGGGTCATTGTTTTTATATTTGCACGCAATCTGTACAAGGCAAGCTTCACAAGAAACGACTCGCTGCAACCTCCGGAAATCAAATTTCTTGACTGTATTCGCGACTCCAGTAAAACGGACGCCGCCAAGCGGGAAAACCGGGAACCAGCCGGTCCAGGTCGCTCCGCGCCCCTTCCCGTCTCTGGTGGCTTTCGCGGACAGGTGTTGTCGGCGCGATGGCGAACAGTGTAATTTCACGAAGGTCCGAAAATTTCTTAAGTTCGCCTGAGTATCCATTAGTCTGGTGAAGTTTCAGTAGATTGTTTCCTTCCATCACGTGTTTGAAAGCCCGTTTACTCCACAACACACGGTCACGTGCGTTCGATTTTTTGGAGGAGGAGGAACAACTGAAAAACGTTTTGATTTCTTGTCTGTCTCGAATCACATTCAAAGTAACGACTACTTGGTAACTGATAAAGGGTTTCTTTATAAGTATGTAGAACAGTGGATTGAGAACAACAGACGAGGCATTTCACTGGAGGGAACACCAATGTTGCAGTCAAGTGAATGGGAAGGTTCGATAGCTGCTTTTCTTGAGTTTGGTTGTGTTCGATTAGCTTCAAGTTTGAGCCACCCACGCCGGTCGGTGCGTTGGCTATTCCTCTTGGCTGCTTTTCGCCGAAAAAACCTCTGGACCACTCTGAAGGAGTTGGCTGATTTCGCAATTACGTGATTCAGGAAAACCTGCTCGCTGCAAATGATGAATGAGGGAAATTATCTGTTTTCAAAAGGCGTCTCGCAACGTTAGAAGCTGTCACGGCATTTTGTTCTATCGTGCCTCCAATATTTATATTATACCCCCGTCGAAGCCAGCAGCAATATATGTCTACATTGCTCAGGTTGACCGGCCACAAAAGAAATACTTCTTTTCTCCGTTCAGGATTCGAAGCAAAGTTCAATGCCTGCAGAGAGGTTCTGCGTGAACTTTAAAGAAGACTCTCTTCAGTTTGTCTCCGTTCTGCCGGCTAGAACCATTTGGCTAAGTTTAAGTAGTATCTCTCTGTCTGTCAAATAGACTTTTACTCGGCAGTTCACCTAATATCTAGTCAACTAAGCTCATATTTCAACCCGAAGAATATACTAATATCGCTTTAGTGGGACATAGTACGTAATATAATACATAACCCGCTCGTCAAAATGACTTCTCGATTGCTACTAAAACCTGAATTGAAATACGAGTATCAGCTGTTTAGTGGGGTGCCGGCGGGTTAACATGCTCCTTGGCTCAAGAAGCGCTTGCTTAATTTTCGTAATTTTCCTGCAGCCTGTGCTGTTGACCGAGAAGACGACTGGAGCTGTTTCTTAAACGCGGATACGCACAAAACCTCGATTTCGCGGATAGATAAGTCGCATGGTCGAGGCATGGGAGTTAGCTGAAAATTACTCTCGGTAGAAGAATTCTGTAGTCATTGCCGCTTTCCTTAGATGATCAAAACTGATTAGTATATTACCGTCTCTCCGGAGCTCATAGTTTCGGTTTTGAACGAAATCTCCGAAAGGAAACTTTGACATGAAAAGAGCAAAAAACACCGGGAAAACAAATTCATGCTTTGCAAGTTTATGTGCACCGGCTACACTTAACCGTCTCAGTTCAAATACCTATAAAATTGGGCATTAAACAAAAGAAAATCTGTTAAATTCAACGCGCCACCTGTTCAGGCGGCCCGGCCGAGCCGACGTGACCTGAACTCAGCCGCCATGTTTGTTTGGTGGTGACGCCCCCTATAGGTCGCTGGAGTCGCGAATACTCTAAGAAAGAAACACCACTTCAAGGGTGCGTTACGGCTGCGTTCCTTTGCGGGGCAGAAAGTGGCACTGATATTTCTTTACGTCAATTTGCAAGGAACAACGCTTCTTGGACCAGGGCCCGTTTGCTCGAAGCCGGTTAACTTTAACCGCGGTTAAAAGTTAACCGCCCTTCCCTACTAGGTACCTACAAGTACCTAGCCAAGTTTGACGAGGATGGATGAGCGATAGCTCCGTGTTTTATTATGGGGTGGTAGCTGGTGTCACCTACTGGCTGTAGCGCGTGGCTTCCGTTCAAAGGTTCCCGAAATGGGGGGACCCAAAAAATGCGCGCTGCCTGGTTTTCGTGACGCAGCGCGGCATACATTTGAGCTTAAGAAACAATTTTTATTGCTCGTGGTACAAATAATCGGCAAGGTAAAACTAAATTA